TATAAACTGTAGTGAAAATATACAAAAGTATTAACAAATGTTCAACCCATAAAAAACAAAACCCCACCAACATGAAAGCTGGCCATTCCCACCTGGCATGAGGAGGGCAGCTCTCCTGGCCGTGGTGTGTGCGTTTGGGAAGCAGACTGGAGGCTGCCCCGCCCACAGGGCCTCCAGCCTCAGCCCAAGGCCCATCCTGCAGGCACCCCAGGCTGGGTGCGGAGGCAGCACCTGTCAGAAGGGCCCTCCCCGTGGGAGCCACTGGGGGAGGCACCGGAGGGTACAGAGCTGCTCTTTCCTCAGTGGCACAAGAGAGGGGAAGTGCTGGCTCAAAATAGTGAGTGGGACCAGACCCTACAGTTGTGGAGGGAGGAGGAGGCTCCATCCTGTCCCCAGCCTGGAGTCAGGCCAAGCATTCCCTTTCCCACCCTCCAGACACCCAGAGAGGGGAACCTCCAAGAAAGTGTCCCCAGTCCAGCTCCTCCACGATCTCTCTGCTCTCCGACGCCCACTGCCTGGCCACTGGTAACACACTGCCACTCAGAGAATGGCCCACGCCATGGGCTGTGGATACACAGGCCCCCTGGGCCCAATTCAGGTGCTTTTAAGATGAGTCTTTTCAAGGCAAAATAGACACAACAAGCCTATTCCTAAAGGCAGCATTTTAGGCCCCCAGGATGTAGCAGTTCCAGGGGGAAACCCACTTGGAATCTAAAGTCTCAAAGAAGCTGGAGCTGATCCAGGGGCCCCAGCCCCATTCCTCCTGCACCGCCTGGGTTGTGGCCCCGTCAGCTGACAGCAGATGTGGAAAGTGGGGGGCGGGGAGGTGGGCTCCAGCAGCCCCACTGGTCCTGCGGAGTCTGCAGGGCTGTGAGGCTGCAACAGCCGCCTTGCAGTGACCTAGCTCACAGGCAGCTTCCTGAAGAAGGCAGACCTCAAACAGCCGCTCCCAAAAACCAGAACAGAGAAAACATATTTTTGATACCTGAAAAGAGACGAAGGCTTTTGGCTACATACAGAGACCAGCTTCCTCTACACAGTGAAAAATCAAATTAACCAACTTAACCAAAGACAAAAGCCGAGTTCAGTCCGGTCTGCTGAAATGCCATCCTAAACTAGGATCCTGCCAGAAGGTTGACAGTAACGAACAGAAAAACCAGGCTTACGGAAAAAAGCACTTTTTCAAATCATACTGCTTCAATAGTCTGAGTGTGTTTAATAATAGCTATCAACTAAGGATTATTTCCAATTTTTTCCAGGTAGTGTAAAAAATCCGCTTAAAATTGTTTCCTTCCATACTTGAGTAATACTGTCCAGGAAACATCTTTCACATCTACACATCAGGGATGGTCCACAGGGTGATTAAGCAAAAACCATGTTCATTGCGCAGAGCCTCTTTCCAGGCCTTCTAAGACCCAAAACTCCCTGGGCATCCTGACATACTGGGAGCAACGGTGACCCCGCAGGGAGGACCGCTGCCCAGAACAGGGAAGCTTCTGTGTGGCACTGGGGAGGGGACAGGTCTGGGAGGGCTCAAAGCTCTGACCCCAGGCAAAGGCACTTCCAGCTCCAGGCCCTGGCAGCCAGGCTCCTGGCTGCCCCAGCAGGCAGAGGAGAGCAGGGGCACTGGCTGCTCCCGAGAAGTCATGGTTTCCGGCTGTCCGACAGCCTTCACTCTGCAGCTGCACCGCTGCCTTGCAAAGCACCCCCAGAAAAGCTGCCTCCATCCCCTCTCCCAGGGCCTGCCCAGGGGTGGGCCTGCTTTGTAGGATGCTGATCCAGTTTCCTTGGACTCCCATCCACACATGCAGAACCTTGGTCAATTCTCAGATGGAAATAACTGCACAGAACCTCACGGAGCCGCGCAGGCAGAGGAGTGAGTGTGCGATGTCTGGAGAGGCAGGCTCTCCCCAAGCAGGCTGGGAGCCACAGTTTGAAAGACTGTGCATGAAAGGGCAAAAGCTATTCCAGAAATGGGGCACAGCCAGCAGCTTGATGCCACCAGCAGGTCTGTGGCCTTTCTATAGGCTGTTTCTTAACAAGGGATGTGCTTAACTTTGTAAGGAAATCCTTTTTCCCACACTGACCTTATGCCGCCCAAAGCAGTCAGACTCTGGCCTGGGCGTATCTGAAGCACAGTGGGCGTCCTCCACGGCAGCTGTTAAAAAGATGCCCACGACTGCCCACATGGACAGGAGACACCACATGGGGAGAGGGCCCATGTAAGGTTTTCTAAGTGCAAAGACACCAACACAACCAACAGATGCTGTAAACAGGTTCCTGAAAATAGCCACCTGTAAGCCTGGTGATGCACCGATCAGGCAGAAAGCATGACGGGATACGAGTAACCAAATGCCACGGCACGAAGATGGCTGTAAACAGATCAGACCCCCACCCCGAGTGGAAAAGAGAAAGTGCAGAGTGGCTTCGGACATCTGCCCAGCAGACTCCCGGAGACCACGCAGGTTACATTCTGGCTCTGAAGCAAGCAGAGACTTCTCTGCAGTTCACCCTTTGGTACACTTTGGTTGTGAAGGCAAGAAGAGCAGCGTCAGGGGGCAGGGGTGGGGCGGGGTGGGTGGCACTCAGGTGTCCTCCTCCTCGTCACTGACCAGCTCACCCTTGTCGGGGCTGGTGTCCCGTTCACGCAGGAAGTCCTCCCGGATGGCCTCCAGCTCTGTCAGCTCCAGCCGGACCTTCTCCAAGTGGTAGGTGCGCCGGTTCCGGATCTGACGCAGGGGGAATGGGTTCAGGTCTCCAAAGGAGATACTGATCAGCTTCCTGGCCGGACACAGGACAGAGACAGAGCATCAACAGGGCTCAGGCAAGCGCTCACACACAGCCCTCGCTCCGGCTGAGCCCACAGGCCTGCAGGTGCCGGGCTGAGGGCTGGATGCAGGTATGTCCTTCGGAGGCCAGTCCTCATGTAGCAGGGGCAGGCCCTGAACAACGGCCTGGATTCAGACCCAGCTCTATCGAGCACTCTGCTGTGTGATATAGAACAGCTGAAGTCACCCCACTTTCCGCCTCCAATTCCACTTCTGTATATTGAGATAAGAGCAGGGCCGCCTCCGAGGCACTGGGTTACTTGACTTGCCACCCGTGAGCACTTGCTCTGTGATGGTGGGGGGCCATGTGCCTCTGAGGCCTTGGAACCAGCACGTGGCCTGGCACGGGGAGTGCTCAGGAAGACTGACGGGGGATGAACAGATGTACGGATGCCCGAGCAAACTTGGTGGAAACCGTTAGACCCAGTCGGGTGTCGACACACAATATATGGAGAAATGTGCAGTTTATGGGTTTTGTACTATCCCCAGGTCAAGGCACTCACCTACAATAAACATTTAAAAATCATGGTAACTTGCCCCTAACAACTGGCCAGCAGTTTAATTAACATAGAACTAAAAAGTGCCGAGGCCCGACTATGGACTTGCAGTGCTAATCACGTGGGCTACAGCTGTCTCTGGGTTCCTCCTACACTAAGGCCGCCACCCCTTCCTCTGCAGGCCCCAGCAGCAGGGACCAAAGGCTCAATACACTTACAAACCCCAGGGGAGGCTGTGATGAAACAGAAATGTCACAGGGACCTCCTCCCCATCTGTCAGAAAGCAAGAGCATTTGCTCCTGCGACTCCTCAGTCGCTTGGGCTACTGGTCTG